GTTTTTTTATTTTTTTATTGCTTAGATGGGTGAACGAGCTCACAGCCCACCTGGTGTTAGGCGGTTACTGGAGCCCATAGACATCTACAACGTAAATGTGCCACCCATCTTGAGATTAACTTATATCTTAAGTTCTAAGGTCTTAGTATAGTTACAACGGCTGCCCCACCCTTCAAGCCGAAACGCATTACTGCTTCACGGCAGAAATAGGCAGGGTGGTGGTACCTACCCGCGCGGACTCACAAGAGGTCCTACCACCAGTAAATTGCTATCCGATTTCAATCCGTGCTTAAACGTTTATTTAAATCTCTGACGACCGGCGCGCCTGTTAAAAAAGCAATCCAAACGAAACAGATTTAAAAGCAGTAAATTCAGACGACAAGTCACGACTCACGTAAAACAATTACACAGACAATAATCCTGCCGTTTTCGTCAAATTTCAAACTGTTTTATTGCGTTTTATAACGCCCTGTATCGAGGGATGCAACTGTTAGGGCGGCGGGTAATGGCCTAAGAGTAATTTTATTACTTTGCCCCCATTACCATCACAATGTGCATGCCACCGGTCGAATGAGATACGCAGCCACTGCTCTCCACCGAGTTCAATGCTTTATCGATAACGCTACGAACTTGACGTATTCGTTTTACTACTATGAATATTTTAATGATTTAAATGTCATTTTACAAATTACTAGTGGTCCCGCAGTAGTCGAAATTCGACTATAATTAATTGAAATTATAAATTTCAACATTATTATGGTCCTATTGTTACAGATTTCACCAAGACTACACTATAGACAAATACTCGTAATATTAAAGATAAACGATACTAACCTATTCTTAATTTGACTACAGACTTTAAGCAATAACAAAAGTTTGACAATAAATAAAGAGTATATGTGTGTGTGTCAAATACATGGTAGTGTGTGTAATGTTTTCTTTATTGATTTAATATACATTTTATGCATTATTTAAAAAAAAAAATTAGCATTGTGCACTTCTTCTCTATATTCTCTATAAGTGTGGAAAATTTCATAATCCTCCGTTCGCGCCATTTTTGAAAAAAGGGATACAAAGTTTTTGCTTCACGTATTAATATATAGATATTTTACCTACGAAATTGTCGCTTAGTATACAGAAAATTAAGGTTATTTTTTTATAAATATTTTTGATGCATCTTCGTCAGTGCAGTAGTAATTTCAAATTATTTCACGAAAAATCTTATAATCACTCGTATTAGTTACCTTTCCTTGAGAAAATCGTGAGTTTTCTCTCGAAATTAGGACTACGATTGTTTACGTCTTAAGTAAGTGCGAATATAAATTTTTAAAGTCGTACCGGCTACCAGGATTACAGAACAGACAGAGGGTGAGAGATGCTCGAACTACGAACTGATTCGATTTGTTCGTGTAGCGATGAATTTTTGATACGGCTCAGTGCACGCTAATTTGTTTATCGTGTTCGCCTTAGCTTGCCGCGCCGGCCTGCTCGTACCCGCCGAGTAAGATGCAAGGAAACTTACTGAATTATTAACGACGACAATCTGACATTGTTTTTTTTTCCTCTAAATTTTTTTTTTTTTTTATTGCATACTAGCTGACTGGGCAGACTTCGTAGTGCCTAAATAGAGAAATAAAATACCTAAACTTTTGTATAAAATAAACTTAAAACAAACAAGAGGAATCCGACGGGTACAGATCAAAGGAAAAACAAAATTGTTATTTTTATTTAATTCCGAGCATTTTCCTATTTAACTACCTTTTAAACCTTCTGGACTTCCACAAATAATTCAAGACCAAAATTAGCCAAATCGGTCCAGCCGTTCTCGAGTTTTAGCGAGACTAACGAACAGCAATTCATTTTTATATATATAGATAGATATGGTTGGACGAGCTCACAGCTCACCTGGTGTTAAGTGGTTACTGGAGCGCATAGACATCCACGACGCAAATGCGCCACACACCTTGAGTAATAAGTTCTAAGATCTCAGTATAGTAGTTACAACAGCTGCCCTACCCTTCAAACCGAAACGCATTACTGCTTCACTGTAGAAATAGGCCAGGGCGGTGGTAACTACTCGCGCGGACTCACATGAGGTCCTACCGCCAGTAAAAATCCCATTTCTGTTGTTATTTCATCGGAACTTTGCTGTGAGAATCGTTGTGTACATTTTAGATTTCGACAATTGTTTCTTTAATGATATTAGGATAAGCACAGAGAATGCGATTAAATGATTCTATGCAGACAATCAGGTCCACTCCGTACTGCGTCATTTAGATTGGAACGCATCATAAGATAAGACGACATGCAGCATAGATACGATTCCGTCCATAATCTAGGCTTTCTTAAGCTTTAAACATTACTTTTAACAATAAATTAAATAATTAAAACTAGTCTCTCGAAAATTAGGACTCACAATACAAATTCTGATCTGATAATTTTTACTGGTGGTAGGACCTCTTGGGAGTCCACACGGGTAGGTACCACCACCCCGCCTGTTTCCACCGTGAAGCAGTAACGCGTTTCGGTTTGAAGGGTGGGGTAGCCGTTGTAACTTTTTTTTTTTATTGCCCTTGTAGGCCCACGAACATACAGTCCACCTGATGGTGAGTGGCTACCGTTGCCCATAGACTTCAGCAATGCCAGGGGCAGAGCCAAGCCGCTGCCTACCGTTTAATACTCTCTATACTATACTGAGATCTTAGAACTCATATCTCGAGGTGGGTGGCGCATGTACGTTGTAGATGTCTATGGGCTCCAGTAACCACTTAACACCAGGTGGGCTGTGAGCTCGTCCATCCACCTAAGCAATAAAAAATAAAAATAATGACATGAGAAATAATTTCAAAATCTATACTACTTATTATTTTATAAATCTACAGTGGTTTTTACGGATGTTCCGTTATAACTACTGAACCATGCATCCGATTGACTTGAAACTTGGTATCCATGTAGAAAATACGTGTACTTAATGGATAGGCTAATAGGCTATATGATTGTTGGACTCCCTAATAATAATGACAATAAATAATAATGGTAATTTTAAATGTCCAGAAAAGCGGGCGAGTACGGCTAGTTGTCTCATAAATGTCATACGTCATCCAGGTCAAAACAATTTTTAGTACACAGAGTCAATTAAAACACAGATAGCACGTAGGTACGTACAAACGCTCACACAAATACACGTTTGTGAGCGTTGCATTTAACTTCCATATCTGATCTTTAGAATGGACAATCTAGAAATCTCAGGGACATCTTATTCTGCAGGGATTTACTACAGAGCAGGACTCGGTATAGTTTATGGGACCCTAGGATATATCAGTGTTGTTAAATTTGAAGAGGGCGCCAGTGACGTTTCGTCTTTTGTTTGAAATTAGAGACGAGCTCAGAGCCCACCTGATGTTAAGTGATTACCGGAGCTCATAGACATCTACAGCGTAAATAACGCCACCTATCTTGAGATGTGAGTTCTAAGGTGCATCGCTCGATACGAATGGACCGGACGTTTTATCCTTTAGGCCACGACGACATCTAGATGTCGACACATGTGGCATGCGTCCAACCTGATGGTTTTTTGTCCCTACCTAAGCTGAGAGAGAGCCTTGAGAGGCTATTTCAGCGGAACCTTAACTAGTAGGCGAGCTCACGGGGCTCAAAATTGACGACGTTGCTAACACGAACCCTAGCAAGAGCCGTGCTTCGCAGAATCTACCACCGGATCGGAAACGCGACCCACTGAGAAGATCCGGCGAGAAACTCAGTGGGCTATGTCTGAGGGTTAATTTATTCGTCGAGCCCTTCGTCCCAGGCGAAAGGCTCAATCTACACTCGGGGTCTGCGTTTGAATCCGTATCGGCAAGCTTAGGAACCACTGGGTCTGCGTTTGAATCCGTATCGGCAAGTTTAGGAACCACTGGTCTGAACCATAAGAACGTCGCGGTTAGGAACGAGCCAATCACAGCGCCATAACTCTGCCTGCTCCGTATTCAAGTCGCGCGCAGATAAGGCTCCGCGCACACGTACCGTTTAGAAGTGCGTGTCGCAATTAGCACGCCGTTCCGATTGTGTGTAATTAGCTTTATGCGCTACGCAACCGAGATGATGTCTGGTGATAAATTATAAATGAATTTAACGTTTTGTATTCTTGTTTTGTAATTTAAGCTACATTTTTTTTTGCCTTCGAAGCACAGCTTTCAGTATAGTTTCTGTGTCTGCGATTTTAGCTAGTTTCTTTTTAACTGTCTGTCCGTGGGCCGATGAATTTACGGTTCATACGAAAACGTGAATGGCGCCATCCTTTCTGATATATGAGGTCGATGTCTCAAAGGTATTCCGGGACGCACTAGACGAGGCAAGCAATACAAGTTCAAAAATCCACATCACGTCCTAATCGAGGTACAAAAATACAATCAGAAAAACGAGAGTTTTCCATTATATTAACGTGATGCTATGAATGTTTAGATATACTTAAGTACACGGGTTGATACCGCATTACTAACCTTTTTTGGTCTTTAACAATATCACGTTCTTGATGGGTAGTATTGACATGACTCTTCAAAGATCATCTTCTTTTTTTTTTATTGCTTAGATGGGTGGACGAGCTCACAGCCCACCTGGTGCTAAGTGGTTACTGGAGCCCATAGACATCTACGACGTAAATGCGCCACCCACCTTGAGATATTAGTTCTAAGGTCTCAGTATAGCTACAACGGCTGCCCCACCCTTCAAACCGAAACGCATTACTGCTTCACGGCAGACATAGGCAGGGTGATGGTACCTACCCGCGCGTACTCATAAGAGGTCCCACCACCAGTAAAAGTATATTATTATATATTAAGTGCGGCGTTATTAACTTAGAAGTCTCCATAGACCCGGTTAGAGCTTATCCTCAGAAAAGCTACGGGCTCGTCCGCTCGGCAAATCTAAATGAAAAAAACAATTTACTCAAGAGGATCTCGCCATTTGCTTCCTAAGTTCTCAAAGCTTTTTGTTTTGATCAGGTGACGCGAGTAACGCCAGCATCGGCTCCGGTGAGGGTACGGGCGAGGAAGACGATGACACGAACGGTAAAAAGAACCAGAAGAAACGCGGAATCTTCCCGAAGGTCGCCACAAATATCCTGAGAGCGTGGCTCTTCCAACATTTAACGGTAGGTCTCCTATCTGCTGTCAAACATGAAGAATAGGTCTCGGTAGGCAGCGGCTTGGCTCTACCCCTGGCTATGCTCGTCTGCCTACAAGGGCAATAAAAAAAAATGCATTAGTAACAACGCGACCTAATACCCGAGCTAAAAGTTAACGGTTCTCGGAGTCTATAGACACAATGTGAACTTCATGCTAGAGGTTACTGATAGTAGGACTTCTTGTGACCACCACCCTGCCTATTTCTGCCGTGAAGCAGTAATGCGTTTCGGCTTGAAGGGTGGGGCAGCCGTTGTAACTATACTGAGACCTTAGAACTTATCTCAAGCATTTACGTTGTAGATGTCAATGGGTGCCAGTAACCACTTAACACCAGGTGGGCTGTGAGCTCGTCCACCCATCTAAGCAATATATAAAAAAGAAGCGAATAAGCGTACATTCTAACAAACAAAACTTATTGGTTTTTAGTTAACAACGTGTGCAGTTAGCAGAATGATAGTGTGTGAATTAAACGTTGGTACGTACGGTCACAAAGGCACCGGTCGTCGTATCGGAACGTCCGAACTGTAGCCGGTCGCGGTTCCGTCGCGGCCACGGACCGGCGCCGGAACGTTTTCCAATTAAATCCCGATCCCGGGAACAATAGTATTGTGCGTCGACTTTACACGTGCTACCAACCGTTTTAAATAATTGTGGGTGTTTTTTTGTTTCCGCGGAGGTTGTTCTTTTTTTTTTTTTTATTGCCTTTGTAGGCATACGAGCATACAGCCCACCTGATGGTAAGTGGTCACCGTCGCTCAAGGACGTCAGCAATGCCAGGGGCAGAGCCAAGCCGCTGCCTACCAAACGCTGTTCTCTGAACGTCACCTTAAAATTATGTCAGCATTTTTATACCCTTCACTGTTTCACTATTTGTTAACACCCGTCTTGCTTACTTCAGACAGAGAGCCACCACTAGCTCTGGTGTTAAGATCGGATAACCGTCATTCTATGAAAATCAAAATTTTTGAGGTTTTGACCTCATCATATTAGAATGTGCTATTAATATTGTAGTGTAAGTAGGTAACTGCTCAGTGGTCGGTGAACTCGCTTGTGTGTCCATCACCTAGTCTTTATTAGCTTACGTATTCAGACAAACGGATCTAAGTAAGTGTAGAATTATTATGATATTAATACGTGAAGCAAAAACTTTGTATCCCTTTTTACGAAAATTGCGCGGACGGAGGAGTATGAAATTTTCTACACTTATAGAGAATATAGAGAAGAAGTGCACAGTGCTAATATTTTTTTAAAATAATGCATAAAAGATACATTAAATCACCATGTATTTGACGCACACACGCATGCATACTATTTATTGTCAAACTTTTGTTCTTGACGTCTGTTGTCAAATTCAGAATAGATTAAATATCGTTTGTCTTTGTTAATATTTTTTATAGTGTAGTCTTGGCGAAATTTGTGATTATAGAAGTATAAAATACAATCATAATAATGTACAAACTTACAATTCCAATTAATTATAGTCGAATTGCGACTACTGCTGGACCTCTAGTTATGATAAAATGAACAAGTCCCGATATGAACTAATGTTTATTTACGCTAGTAACACTTGCGGAACATCCGAGAATTGATTGTAATAACAAAATTAAATCTGTTATATCGTATTCCTCTGTGAATTTATTCAAAAAACTAAATGTAAATGGGTGTATCAAGCTGTCTCGACAGTTGTAAGTGCAGGGCCCAGTGTTGCGTAGTAATTTCTAGAATGGGATCTGTCGAGGCGCGGCGCGGGGGCCGTGGCAGGGGCGAGGAGGGGCGGGGGGGGGCGCAATTTCATTACCGGTCCGGATCCGCGCCCATAAATCACCCGGCCCCGAAGAAGCTCAGCGCTGTTCAGGTGACGCTCCGAAGTCGCCTGAGCCCCCCGCCATTTTCTGTTTCATTCGAATCCCACATTCTTTATGACTGCGAAATACGTGAGCGAACGTACGAATCGTGGTTTTTCTAATGAAACACCGATGAATTTGTACAGAACGGGTCAGAGTACAGGAGAAACAATATTCATTTGTCCACTCATACACAGCAGTTTTCGTTAATAGCGCCGAACAATTTCAAGTTACCGTTACAATGGAAGAACGTTCCGTTTTCGAAAATTTCAATCTCGAATCTCTTCGCTATTCGAAATTTAAAAAGACTAACCGTCCTCAAATCGAATTAGGAAGCTTTTAGCGTTTCGTTTCGCGCGTTTTTGCCGGTCGCTGTCCTCGTCCATTACGAGCGCTTCAAATTACTTATAATTGCTCCGCTTAGCGCTAAGTGCTTTCATTACGGGCTCCCCGGGCAACGGTTCCGGCCACGAGAACGCTCTTTAATGCATCGAACGAACGAATCAATTCGGTTACCTACAGGCCGCACGGATCGGGCGTCAAAATGCGGTCGCGGAATATTACGGGATTGTGGCAGAAAGAGCATTCGACCCACATTTCGCGCGGCAACTGCACAGCTGTCAACGTGACGTTTGAAATATACATTCGATTACGCTTCGCGGGAAATTGGATGGCGCTCGGTGACAGGCGCCGTCACCTGGCCGGGCGCGGGACGCACGGTGCCGCATTCGAGTCCTTGACCACAAACAATATTACAGTTGAATTGTGAACGATTGATCCGCGATTACTGCTAGGGCCGTATCGGAGCCAGTGCGGCTCGGGAATCGATTCCGGGGCACGCTCTGTCGAATCGTTGTGATTGTGGAATTTAAATTCAGCGCGCTCTCCGCAATATTGGTTACAATCTGTACGGTCCATTCCGGGAGTGGACGTTTTGAATTTTAAAACAAGCCCGTTTCATTGCACTTACTACGCGTTTGAATTTCATATGCGTGTGAGAGATTCGGGACCGTGTTATGCGATATGTATTATTTTATCAAGAAACGGAATGATTCTGCAGTTATTGTTTCTGAATATAATGGAAGATTTCCCTATGATCCGAAAGTGGCTGTTGAGTTTTCTTTGCGGCTTGGTGCTCCATGACAATTGTCCTATGGGCGTCACAACATGAATATAACGAGACGTGAGGTCGTAGTCTCAACTGAACTGCATAGTAGTACGACATACCTTGTGAGCAAGAATTAGGGTCTAAAGGGTGAAACAGCCCTACTATACGAACAATTTAACTAACTTAAGCTCAAGCTCAGGACATGGAATCCCGCCAAACTCCAGGTGATCTCGTTTATTCAGCTCAAGCCGTTCTAAAAATCATAAACACTGAATTGAAACTCAGCAGATCGTTACTAGACTCCAGCCAATTTTTTTTTAGCAAAGAAATCGCGTTTTCCTCTCCGGACAGGACTGGCTCGATCTTGCATTCCGACATCCAATTATATTGATACGCCCGTATTCGGTTTGTAGGAATCCAGAAATCAATAACAAGAGATCAGACGAGCGCGGTTTTGTTATACAAATGATTAAAATAGCATTGTACTAGCTGCCTCGACAGACTTTGTCCTGTGAGCTTCATTTGAACTATTACGAACCTTTAAAGACCAAATTATTAAATTAAAAACATTTAAATACCTCAGTCCACGTTGCTATCCACACAGCCGAGGACAGGCGGGAATGGCGCAAGATGATGCAGGAGAAAGTTATTAGAGGAGGCCACGACCCTCAGCACTGAGGATTATCGACGCGAGGACGAGGAAGAGAGAAAGACCAAAACAGCCGAAACGAGCCGTCCTCAAGCGATGCGACTACCAACGAACAGCATTTCCTTTCTTACATATATATATTTTTTAAATATCGAATATATAAACATAATCGATTTAGTTCTCACGGAGAAATACAGCTAAAAAGGCAACATCTCTTCGAATTGATAACCTCCTTTTAAAAAGTCGGTTAAAATTCATGTGATGGGTTAGATAAAATGGCTCATTTGGATACTTATAATTTAATAGACATCTGGTAATTAAATTTCGTAGCATCGTTTGTTTGTTTTCTATTCGAGCAATCTTTGCATTGTCGTGTGTAGTGCAGTCATTGTCCACACTTCGAGGAAGGTTGTTGGTATATTACCATCAACGAAAGGCAGGTTGCACGCGTGTATCGCCAATAAATCTGTGTCATTTTAGTTTATAATTGTGTAGGTTCACGATAGTAATGGAATAGTTAAAACCGAAATTTTCAGCAACACTTTACAAGCTGAGGAATTAAATAAAAATAACAATTTTGTTTTTCCTTTGATGTGTCCCCCGTCGGACGGATTACTTTTGTTTGTTTTAAGTTTATTTTATACAAAAGTTTAGGTCTTTTATTTATCGATTGAGTCTCTACGAAGTCTGCCGGGTCAGCTAGTAAAATAATAAAACATAATTGAAGTTCAATTAAAATTTCGAATTGTTGATACTAAACACCAAATAAAACGGACCTTTAATTATTATTATAATAAGATAAATGTTGCGTGTTAACGGAAATTACTCTAAAACCAAATGACTTTTCAACCGTCGTTACAATTGAATATTTAACGCAAACCAAAAATATTACACTCGTCTAGGTTTTTATCACTGTCATACATACTCTATAGTGTATCTTGGCGAAAGCAAATCGTGTTTCGGCAAGTAACCGAGCCGGTGTCCACTCAGAGAGAGATACGTTATCTTAACGACCCTCCTCAGAGGGAGGGAGGGTACGCTGACCCTGCCATTAGTGTTGTCCAAAAATCGAATGCGAAAATATAGAGTTTAGGTGTTTTTTTGGTTTTTTGCTCAGAATGGGCTGACGAGCTCGCCTGGTGTTAAGTGGTGTTAAGTCTACAACGTAAATGCCGGCACCCATCTTGAGATATTAGCTCTAAGACCCTTCAAACTGAAACGCATTACTGCTTCACGGCAGATGTAGGCGGATTCGTGATGCCCACCTGTGCCTATATCTGACGCCTAACCACCTATAACCAAGTATCAAGTTCCTAACCAATAAACAAACACGGCGACGACATTGAAATGCTAAATTCATGGTTG